CGCAATCTGTTCCTGATGGGTAAACACAGGCATGAGTACATGCACACATGCTCACACACACACACCAGCAATTCAGGGTCACCCAGCACCCAGGGCTCATTTCACCCAAGACACAGCACACACTTGGGCTCTCACTACCAGCCAGCAGGGCTTGCCAAAGCCCCCAGCTCCACATACGCACAGCCAGAGCTCAACAGACACACCCAGGTGGCCTCTCGCAGACAGTGGCACACAGAGTCTGCCATCGCGGCCACACATCACTGCCTCCCATGTGGACACCGCTGCCTTGGCCTTGCACACACTGGTGTACGTGCACACACGCATTATGGTCACACAAGCAGACTCTCACATGCACTCACTCAAAAAGTCACGATCTCACATATGGATACCATCACACACTCGGAACAGTCCATCTTCCACACAGACACCCTTGCACCTCCGCAAACTCAGAGCCCCCCGGTCACCCTCCGCCTCTCACATCCCCACACCTGGCGGTGGGAACACACAGATACACACTCAGAATAGTCACTCTATGCTGGGACCTTGGGTTGGGGTTGAGGGGCTGCACTTGGTGGGAGTGGGTGTAGCTCAGAGTGGCCTAAGGCAGGAAAGAGAAGGGAAGGAGGAACTTTTTGGTCCCTAAAAATCCGAGGAAATAGACGATTATTCCCTTGGCAGTTCCTTCGTCCCCTAAACCCACTTTCACCAGCATTTGGGAATGAGGGGAGATCCAGGCCAGACAGGAAGAGTGAGGAAGCCCCTGGATGAAGAGATGGTGGCACTGGTAGCAGCAGGAGCCGGAAAACCCTAGAAACCAGCCCACCCCCCGGGCCCCTTCTGCCTGCACCCCCCCCTCCCCCCAAGGATGGTGAACAGCAGCAGCCCTCAGCTTAGCTCCCTGCTGTGTGATCCCAGGCCTCTTCAAAACCTCTCTGTGTCTAAAGGGCACCAGCATGTCAGCCCTAGCTGCAGGAGGAGCAGGAAGGGGAAGGAGATGGGGCCTCGCCCTCAATCCCCAGCCCCTGCCAAAGCCCTGTCATCACCATCAGGCCCAAAGAGAGATGGGGACAGCACTGGCCAAGCTGGCGCTCCCCTAACTAACCACTGAGGACAAGAATCCCAAAGTGTCCTTGGGCCCTGCAGCCCCGTCCCCATCACGAGAGAGGGACGCTGTGTCGCTGTCCAGGCAGAATGGAATCCAGGCTGTGCTGGCCAGGCCCCAACCCAGGAACAATTGGCAATGCTGTTGACATCCTCACCACTTGCCACTCCAGGTGTAGCTTGGGCCCTGGTGCCCGCTCCTGAAGGCAGCCTGACAAGGGCTCCATGGAAGCCAGGCAGGGCAGTCCCAGAGAGCCAGGCGGGGGGGGGGCGGGGGTCTTTTGGAAAGCAGGCAGTGGCAACAAAGGCAGGCAGGCAGCAGGGTCTAGAGGACCAGGTGACAGGGCCCCGCAGGACCCCGAAGGACGTGGGCCAAATGAAACCAGGCAGTGGGGACTTGAGTTGGCTAGGAGGTGGGGACAACTGAAGCCAGGCAAGAGGCCCACAGGATGTGAGAAAAGAAAGATATCAGGAGCTCATCCCCACAGTCTGCGTGTCACCCCACAGCCTGGGCCTCTCTCTCAGTAGCCCCCTTCCCACCCAGATGGTGGTCCCCTCCCCCAGGCCTATGGACATAGCCAGAGCCCCCTCCTCTCTGGGAGGCCTGGTCCGGCTGCAGCCAATGGGCCCCGGCCCCATCCCCGGGACCTCAGGAAGTCCCAGTCCCTCCCACCGGCTGCAGAGGCAGGGGGGCGGCGGGGGGAGACAGCGGAGAAGAGAGAGACAGCTTGGCAGGGGGAGCGCCGAGCATCCGCGGGGGGCGGGGGCCGAGGAAGGCGCGGGAAGCGCCGAGGCGGGCGGGCGGGGGCGTCGCGGCGGCGGCGGAGGTGGGGTGACAAGTTCTCCGGCCCTGCGGCCGCGCGGCCACTGACCTGGGTCCCCGCGCAGGCGCCCCGTCGGTGCCTACGGCGCTGCGTGGTCCGCCCGGCCCCCCGCGCGCATCGGGGCCGGGGCCGGGGCCGGGCGGCTCGGGAGGCTGGGGCGTCCCGGCCCCGAGGGTCGCGGCGGGCGCGGGCGGGCGAGGGGCCGGGCCGCGAGGGAGCGGGGTGGGGGGGCGCGCGGGCCGGAGGAGGGAGGCAGGGGCGCGCGGCGGGCGAGCGGGCGGGCGAGCGGAGGAGCGAGTGAGGGACGGCAGGCAGTGAGGTCATCCTTTGAATCTAATTGTCTGAGTCAGGAGGAGATGTGGCACTTGATGCAGGGGGAGGCGAGGGGGAAGGGACCCTCCCGGCTCCAGGCCGGCCCCTCCTCACCCCGGGGCCAGCCAGGGCCTCCCTTCCCCCGCAAGGGGCAAAGCGCCTCGGGACAACTCCGACAGCCCCCTGCCTGTCTCAGGGCTGACCTCTGCTGCCGGGGCCTCAGCAGGCTGGCGATGTGGGACTCAGTCCCCTGTCACCCCTGAGAGCAGCCGCCTTCTCTCTGGGGATGACGGGACTCCCACCGAGGCCCAGGTCACCTTCCTGCATTTCTGAGGGTAATGGGAGGCCCGAACCCGCCCCCAGGTTCTATTCTTGCTCTCTGAGAATGAATGGGGGACTTCAGCCCCTCTTCCTTCCTGCACTTTAGGAGCATGGAGTCCCCAACTTCATTCCCCAAGTTACATCTTGCACTGGGAATTTGGGGAATCTGGGCATTGAACCCCAGCTCACCTTCCTGCCCTCTGAGAATGACGGTGCAATGCTGCCCGGTCCTCCAGTGACGGCACTTTGGGGGGCATGAGGACCCCCCAAGTGACCCCAAGTTCTCCCTGTTCTGCATGCACAATCCTTCTGGGAGGGGTAGGAGCCAGGCCAGACTCCTAGGGTCCCCAGGGGCTGCCCAGGGGACCAGGCTGCTCAGATGGCAGGGGGCAAGAAGGCAGCTGGGCCCTGGGCAGTCAGGTGTGCACACCCATGCATGCACACATGAGCACATGCCCATGTGTGTTCATGCACACATGTGTACACATACAGTTGGGGGGCAGGAGGCAGCTGGGGATGCTCACACCAAGGGCCACACAGCCCTCCCTTCGCCCCCATGGGGGAGGGGTGATAAATATTTAAGGGGCTTTTAGCTCTGAAGGGGCTGAAGCTGGGGGAGGGAGGGGGATCCACGATGCCTGATTAATGGGGTTACGGGCTTGGATCAATCCATCCGCCCGCGGCTCCCTCCTCCTCCCTCCCTCCGCCTAATGCGCTTTATCAGGAGAGCTTTTCTGACTTGGCAGCGTCGGGTGTTTTAAATAGACCCATTTAGAGCGGGAGTTGGGGGAGAAGGGGGGGGGAAGGGAGACAGAGATTGAGACAGGCTGGGAGACAGAGACGAAGCAGGGGAGAGAGACAAGCCCCGGAAGAGAGAGAGTGGGAGAGGAGAGACAGAAGGCGATGCAGAGACATGGGGATGAGAGACTGAGGATGGGACTCCCACAGAGGCTGACACGGCAGGGAGGGGGTGACGGGAGGCCGAGGGGAAGCTGTGGGCCAAGGAGCAGAAACAATAAAAAAAAAAGGGAGACAGAGACAGAGAGAGGGGGAAGGAGCCACCGGCAGTGGGAGAAACCCAGAGAGAGGCTCTCGGTAAGGGCTGAGCGCTAGCTTGGGAGACAGCAGATACCTTTTATTTCCAAAAACAGTTTTTCATCCACTTTGTTAAATTAAAAAGCTGTTTTTAAAGTGGTGCTGGAGGTGCTGGTGGGGGAGGGTGGACAGAACTGCCAAGTCTCCCTCCTGGCCTCCTCCTCGGCCCCCACAGAAGCTGCCTCAGCCTTAACCCGGGGGGGTTCTCCAGCTCCCCTGCTCTCTGCGATCCTCCGGGATCCCCAGGGACAGGGTCAGGGCATCTGAGCTACTGTTCATTGGCAGGAAGTCCTTCCTGCGTCTGGCCTCAGTCCCTCCTGCTGCAGGGAGCCCATTCCCTTGCCTGACCACGAGCCTTCTCTTCTCCAGCCCCTGCTCCGGCTCCCTAAAGTGTTCCCAATTTGGGGGGAGGATTATGTGCCCTCACAGCTCAGTAGCTCACTTTCTCAACTGCCATCAGACTCCTCCCAGGTGTGCCCCCAATAAATATTTATTATCTATTATTGTGTAAATCCAGACTTCTGTCAGATACCGACTCCGTGTCCTTGGGTCCTCTGGGAACAGTGAGATGGAAGCTTAACTCTCTGCAGCCCTCTGGAGCCTCCCCGCCTCCTCTTCACAACCCCAGCTCCATTTTAAGTCCCTTTTATGGCCATGTGTCAGCCTAGGATACCCCACCCCACCCCCAACAACACCCTAGTCCTAGTGCTGAAGGGTCAGTGCCCCCCCACTCCCAGGCCAGGAAAATGGCCAGTCTGTTTGGGAGCTGAGATGAAAAGCCCGCCTGCCTTTGTGGGCCTCTGGCGGGTTTTGGACAATAGGCCCTTCCGTTCCGCTCCAGCGCCTCGAGTCCTTGGACACCCCCACCCCGGGGCTGCCAATCCGGGGGCCCTGCCTGGCCTGAATAAAAGGCGGGGAGAGTCAGGCCCAGCCCCACGACTGGCCCCAGAAGATTTTGGACTTTCTGACCTCCCATCCCATTTCCTCCAAACCCGGCTGCTCCCCCAGTTAAGCCACAGAGATGCTTTGGGGGCAGAGGGAGCTTGGCGACAAGACAGAAACATACCTCACATCCAGGCTGCAGCCCCTCAGGACAGAACCCAGTTTTCTGACCTGGCTTTGCCGTTGCCTGCATGACTGGGGAAAGTTCTTCCCCTTTACAGGCCTATGATGGGGGCATGAAAAGCCTCCGGAGGAAGGACACAGAGGAGGAAGAAGAAAGACAGGGACGAGGAGGACGCGTCACAGGCCTTCCTCTGCTCATGTCCCCAGACCTCCAGCCCCACCGCACCTGCACCTGCCTGATGTCCTGAGACTGACCTGCTGGCCTTGGTCCCCAGCACTTACCTCTTCACCACTGGCTGCACACCGAGCGCATCAATCTCCTCCTCCTCCTCCAGACCAAACTCTTCCCCAGACTTCCAAACCAAGGGGGCGGGATGACGGGACAAGGCTGGATTCTAGAAGGGCAAAGGGCACAAAGGTCAGAGAGGAGCCACAGGCCTTAATCCAACTCAGAGCTCACTCCATACTCACAACCCCACTGTGAGAAGGGGAGACTGAGGCAGATATCGGATAAGCATCTAGAAGAGGAAAAGCTGGGAGCAGTGCAGACTCCCTCCAGCACACCTTGCTGACCCAAGGTTCTGACACACACGGAAAGAGAGAGGCCAGAAGCCAGTGGCCCGACTCCCACACAGACCCACACTCAGACACACCCACAATCCAAAATCCCCACACAACCAGTTCACAGACACAAGTACCTCCATATCACACACATTCTCCCGTGCGTGCTCACACGGAGACACATGGCCACCAGCAGGGCATAAGCACCCACCATCACACCATCCTCTTCCTCTGTCTCATCACCACTGTGATTTATTGAGCATCTGTTACGTGCCAGGAACTGTGTTAGGCCCTTTATATGCATTATCTCATTTAATCCTCATGACTTCTCCATGAGGTAGGTTCTATTATTATTCCTACTTGACAGTTGAAAAAGTGGAGATTCAGGGAGGTTAGCAACTTGCCCAAGACCACATAGCTGATCGGTTCCAGAGCACAGATTTGAGTCCAAGTCCAGTTCCAAAGGCTGTCTGCTACACCAGTTTGCCTCTGTAGATCTCTCTTGTGCCTGCACAGTGCCTTTCCCAGTAATGACAGGCACGGCTACCACTTGTTCAGGGTCCTAGATGAGCCAGACACTATGATAAGTACTTAATCTACGTTTTTGCACTCAGTCATCAAAACCACCTTTGGAGGTAATCCTGTTTCCATTTTACAGATGAGGAAACAGGCTCAGAGAGCAAGAGCATCTTGCCCAAAGTCACACAACTGGTAGTTGGTAAGGGAGCTGGCATTGTACCCAAGGCCATGTTGCTTCTACAGGCTCAGTCACTTAACAGAGCCCTCACCTTCTACAAGACCTCAGGACATCCTCAGGGTCCAGCTGCCCCTGTCCTCCTAACACAGGTCCCAGATGTATCTGCCAAAGGCCAGATCAGACGCCTAAACACGAGAGAAGGACTCCACGTCACCCAGCTCGGCCCAGAGATGCAGAGACACCACCAACCAGGGAGAGGTGGCCAGAAACTAAACCAAGGTGTTAGAGACAGGCTGGCTCACGGTAACAGATAGAGACACACCAAGAGACAGGCCCAAAGAGGGAGCCAGAGACAGAGAAACACGCCATCGGGCCAAAGACTGACAGTGACAGTGGGAAAGGAGACAACAGAGGGAGAGCAGGCTACAGGCTGCCCTGAAAAAGCACAGACAAATCCACAGCATCGGACACAGCCACAGAGACACAGAGAGAGCCACCCAACCTGCATAAGAACACAACTGTGAAAGCAGACAAGGCTCAAGCCGTGTGTGGCGTGTGTGGCGTGTGTGTAAGTGTGTGCGCACGTGTTGGGGGGCATGCAGAGTCTGTATCACTACGCACATTACACCAGCTGCTTCCAGCAATTTCATCTGATTAATAATAAATGCCCCGTAATTACAGCCGCTCCCCCAGCCCTTCTTCCTGTTTTTTGTCAGCTGCCGCCAGGCCAGCCCCCTATGGACCCCATAACCTCCTCCACCCTCACCTGCTGCCTTCTAGGAGGTTGAGAGGACACGGGCTGATGGAGGAGGCCCGCCTCCCAGTCTGAGGGGGAATACCCATCTTTCTATGTTGCATGAATGCCCTCTGCCTCCAAGCAAAAGGTCATCTTCCATAGGTCTCACTCAGAACTGCACCCCTACCCTGAATATAACCTGTGGCCCCTAATACGGTCTAGAGGCCCAGGGCTGGGGCGCAGAGAGGAACTCTGAACTCCCCTGGCCTACTCTCTATAACTCCCTGGCTGAAAGAAGTCTCCGTTCACTAACTTCCCCACGCCCGGGAACCCCACAGGCTCAAAGGAAGAAGGGACCAGTACAGGGGTCCCCAGCCCCTCTTTCCAACCCAGGCAGCCCAGAATCTCTGCCCACTCGTGTACCCTCACACTCTGGACACTTGGTGGCTCCACCTCCCATCCCTGAGCCCCCTAGGTCCACATTCTCCAGGCTCCCACCCTCGCTCTCCAAGGCAGCTCTATCAGAATCAGCTGCGGGTTTGTGCTGATCTGTTTCTAATCGCTGGGGCCTGGTTCACGCTTGCCCCCCCCAAATATTGATTCCATTATTTGGAGAGTCATTGACGTCAGGAGCCTGGATGGGTGCCAAAACCGCCTTCTCTCCAGGCCTGGGCCAGGGCCCAGGCCCCCCACCCCGAGATTTCATGGAGGGGCCCAGAGGGGTCAGCTCACGGGCCAAGGTCACACGGCATCTGCCCTCATAGGCTGGACTCTTCCTACCTTTTGGGGACCACTGTGCGGCTCCTCTCCTGGGGAGAGGGGCTACACAGAGGCCTGGGGTTAGAGGTGAGGGGGCTATCAAAGGGGGGTTGCAGGACCCTCACTGGAACTCGGGCTACAGGGAAGGAGTCCAGGAGGTAGGCATGGGGGCAGTGGCTCAGAAAAAGCTACTTGGTGAAGATTTGTTCTTCGCCACACACTTATTTTGGACCATCCTGAAGCTGGACTTGAAATGGTTACTATTGACTCCTTGATTTTTATGTCTGATATCAGATGCGTCTCCAGACTCTCTGAGAAGGAAGTTCTCTGCAGTGTAGGATAACAGATTTCCCTAAATGTTGCCATAATTTGACTAACTGGCACCATTCATTTTATAAACCTTTGTTCCATGCAAAACAAAGGCTCTGTCTCCTGTGCATCTCCCATCCATGCTGCCTCAGTTTCCCCACATTCTCCTAGTTTCTCCTGGCTCTGCATCTATCGGATCAAGATGCAGCCACTGCTACACGAGCCCAGGTCGGCAACTCCTAGGCTCCAGCCGGACAAGGTATTTTTAGGATCTGAACCCTGTGTTCTCAAATAGACGTTAATAACCAATACGGGCAGTCCGTGGTGCCCAGAGCAGCTAAACAACCTCAGAGCCCAGCCTTGGAGGCTCAGAGGTGGGCTCCACTGCCTCAGCTAGAGTCTAAGAAACCCAGACCTAAAGAGAGCAAGGGACACGCTCACACCCACGGGGTGGGGGGGGGGTGGGGGGGGGGAAGAAAAGGACTTTCCAACCTTCTGAAAAATCCTAAAGCTGGAGAGAGGACAGAGGTGACCTCCGACCTCTGCCACAGAATCAGGGTCATTGCTGGCCCCAGTCGCCCCTAGGCCAGCTCTTTTCAAGGAAGAATCTGCCTGTCCTCTGCACTCCTGCCCTGAGTGCAGGGAAGTCCTTCCCTTAGTCTAGCCTGTAGATCACTCGGGTCACTGGAGCCAGAGGGTATGCAACAGAGGCTGTTAGGTTTCAAGCCACAAACCCCAGAGAGTCCCCCCTCCCCGCGGCGTGTCCCACCCAATGATTCATTCCTCAGCATGCACTGAGCACCGAATCTCTGCCAGGCACTGTGCCGGGAGCTGAGGATGCAGTCCTGCCCACCAGGAGCACGCAGCCTGAACGGAGAGAAAAAGGTGTCCTGTTAACTCCGCACTGGCTCCTCCCATGTGCCAGCTCTGTGCTGGGGGCAGGGGACAGCAGTGAGCAAGGCAGACCCAGCCCTGGGCCCCAGCGAGCTCACTGGCAACCACTGCAGCCTTGCTAAGTGGGGTAGCGTACAGGGGGACACACTGACTGCTCCGGGTCTGAAAACCAGCCCCCTCCAGCAGGCCCGAGGACTCTTCCGTCCATTCCTCAACCCCAGGTCGGGCCCTGGCGCTGACCAGAAGCCACCAGGGCAGTCCGACTCCAGCTCCCTCCACCATGGCTCCTGCCCCAGCCTCTGGGAGCAGCAGGGTCTGACCCTTCCCCTACGTGGGCCCCTGGAGCTCCTGGCTCTGGGGACCCCAATCCAGCGTGGCTCTGTGCTTTGGGGGCTCTCTTTGCCTTCCATAGAGGTAAAGGGGGTGATGACTTCAGTGCTCTCAGCCCACAGGCACCCCTTGTCTCCCCGGGGCTCTCCCCACAGGAAGCCAGAGCCCGGGTGGGTGTGGTCACCCAGGGCCACAGTTTACACAGCTGAGGTCTCCCCCTCTCCCCTCACCCCATGGTGGGTCTGGAGGAGGGGTCAGCTCTCCTCAGTCTCTTTGCTCTCTGGGACCCCCCCCAAACCAGGCACACATGGTCCCCCCCAACCCATCTGCATTTCAAAGAAAATCCGCTCCATATGTTTCCGATTCATTTACACTTCAACCCGCCATGGGGGGGCAGAGAGCAGAGCGCCTTGCCTCCTAGCCCCCCACCTCCCTAGGGGGGCTGGAGAGCATGTGTCCCCTTCAGGGACAGGGAGCCATCTGAGCCTGAGGGCCAGTTCCCTACTGTGTGGGCTCCCTTGGGGTGACAGTGCCCCTCAGGCAGCTCCACCCACTGGCCTCCATAACGGGAGGGCGTGTAAAGCCCCGGGCAGTGTCACCAAGGCAGGTGAAGTCCTAGGGTTGGCTGCAACCTAGCCTCCCTCCAGCCCCACCCCGGGGTGGGGGGCGCTACTGCTCTTCTGGGGAACAGAGTGGAGAAGCTGGGCATACCCTGGAGCCAGGTGAGACTCAACAGGCATTCCAGGAGCCGCTGGGAGATGCAGCTTAACTGGGCCCCTGCCGGCTCCAGCCAGAGCAGAGGAGAGAAGGAGGGGTGCGTTCAGTCCAGTCTCCTCCTCCAGCCACCTTCTCGCCACACATCTGGGGCTGCCATCTCCCTAGAATCAGATTCAACCCCCTGGAAGGGTCAAAGGAGCCAGAAGTCTACCCCTCACCAATTCAGTTTTCACACCCCTCCCATCCTAAGGATGACTGGAATGGGGGCAACGTCTTGGGGGATGTGTCTTATTTCGCCACAGCTGACCCTCTCTACCACAGAGGGGGCGCTGTGAACTATTTAAGGGGCATGCGTGTGTACATGGCACGGGGGGACTCGGAGAGTACATATCACCCCTGTACCAGGAAGCCCCTCACACCTTCCTGCCAAGAGCCTAGTCTTCTTGTGGAAGGAAAGGCAGAACGGTGTACCTGGGTCCACCACCCTCTCCATCAGCCCAAGTGAGGGGCATGACCAAGCATGTATCCCCTCCCGTCCCCACTTTGGAGGAGACAGGTCCTGCAGCAATCTGTTCCTCACTTGAACTGTCCCGACATACACCATAAACCAAGAACCGGGTGTCTTTGACTATGAGTTCTAAGCTCCACCGGGAATGTGAGCACCGCAGTCCTGGTGTGGGTTTGAAGGTGAGCCCCAGGAGGGAAGCATAACCCAGGGCCCCCATGCGAAGCAAGAGTCTGAGTGTGAGCACTAGGGTCCCGTGCAAGTGTGAGTATAAGCCTAGGATGGAAGCGAGTATAACGTAATCGCCAGGGATGTCAGTCCCAGTGTGAATGCCAAGATGGAAGTATAGGTGTGAGTGTGAACCCAGGTCCCAGTGTGCACCTGAGTGTGAGCTCCAGGACTGAGGTGTGAGTCTCAGAGTGAGTCCCAGGATTCCCATAGAAGTCAGTATAAGCATCAGAGTCCTAGTGTAAGTCTGAGTGTGGGCCCCTGGTCTTAAGGGCACTCTGAATGTAAGCTAAGGTTCTCCACGTGAGTCTGTGTGTGAACACTGAGTTCCTAAGCGATCCCAGGATGGAAGTGAGAATCTTGCATGTGAGCACTAGAGTCCTAGTGTGAGTCTGAGTGTGAGTCTATGAACCCCAGTGTCCCATGTGTCCTTGAGTTCACATGTGAGCCCCAGGGTAGCCGTGTGAGTCTGGGTGGGAGCCTCAGAATGTAAGTGTGGATGTGAGTAAGCTCCAGAGTCTTGGTGTGAGTCTGAGTGTGGGCCCTAGGTCTCCATGTCAGTCTGAGCCTCAGGATAGAAATGCGAATCTGAGTGTGTGAGCCTAGAGTCCCAACGTGAGCCTGGGGGTGAACCACAGGACTGAAGTGCACAGCTGGATATGAGCACTGGAACGTAAGTGTGAGTCCACATGAGTCTAAGTGTCCCAGTGTGAATCTGGGTATGAATTCCAGAGCCCCAAGAAGTCTTGAGTGTGAACTTTAAGCTCCGAGTCCTTGTATAAGACTTGGGATCCCAGCTGGAGCATCAGCCCTGATGGAGTGTGAGCTTTACTCCACATCACCTACGCTGATCAGGAGCACCAAGAACCAGTCCAGAGGATGTGTGGGGGTTGTGACAGTGGACACAGGGAGGTAGACTTTATTGAGACACACAGGCCCCTCCACCCCTCAAGCCCTGGCTAGCCCTACACCCCAGGAATACCCAATCGTTCAAGCCCCATCCCCACACGTGCAATGGCACATCATCACAGCCAGAGCTAGACACACAAAAACACCCTCAGTGTTTCAGGCCTCCTGGACATACAGCAATTACAGATGCAAGAACACACCCAGCATTTGGGACCCCCACCACCTCAGTGATTACAGCCACATGAACACCCCCAGTGACACAGACACAAGTATACCAAGTATTACAGGCAAAACAACTAGTGTTACAGACGCACTCCAACAGCGGCATGCAGACACACACCCAGTGTTGCAGACAAGCTGCCAGCCACACAGACACACACAGACGCTTCTCAAAGACAGAAAGAGACTAGGTGGAAAGAGAAAGAAAATCCTGAATTTTCAGCAAGGCGTGAAATAGTCCTGCCCGCCTGAAGCTACTGAAGGGGGGAGGGGGCCAGAGAGCGAGCAAGAGCGAGACGCAGGAGGAGAGGCTCGGGAGAGGAGAGGAGAGAAGCCGAGGAGGAGAGCTGTCCGTCTGGTGACCTCCCCTCGGCCCAGCCCCCACGCACGGGCAGATACACTACTCCAAGCAGCACAGGGACACCCAGGCCGGCTCACACAGAGCCGCACCGGAGGAGACACACACGGGCAGACTCACAAAGAGACGGGGATACACCACAAGCGGACTCACACGGACACACAACAAGACTTACAAAGACACACTGGAGGAGACCCACTACATGGAGATACATCCAGGCGGACTCACGAGGAAACCACAGGCAGGCTCACGCCGACACACACGCGCACACACTCACACAAGCAGATTCACACGGACACACACACACTAGCAGACGCGCAACCGTCCGTTCACACCCCTGGGCGCTTTGAAGTCCAGATTTCTGCCAGAGAACGAAGCCGCCTCCCGGTGCGCGGGGGTCCCTGCGACCCCCCAGCTCCGGAATTTTCCCAGACCCCGCGCGGGCTGCTGCGGGGTGAGGGAGAACAGGGACGCTAGGACAATCAGCCCCGGCCACCTCCACCCCCCCCCCCCCCCCTCCCCCCCCACCACCACCACGCCCAGCCCCCGGCGCGCCCGGACGTGGGGGGCCGCTTCTCCTGCGCCCCCGCCCCCGAGTTTGCAGGCAAAGTTTCCCGTGAACTTTCCCGTCCCCCCCCGAGTCGCGGGCCCACGCGTGTCCCCCCCTTTTCCCGCGCGCACGCGGGCCGCGGGTCTGCCGGTCGGCGCGAGGGTTGGAGGGTCCGGCCGCGCGCGTCCGCCGCGGGGTACTCACCGCGCCCTCGGGCCGCCGGGGCTCCGCGCCTCGCCCTTCGACCGCCCCCGGCTGGGAGCGAGGCAGCAAGCGCGGCGCGAGCACCGCTGCCGGATCCCGCCGCCGAGCCCCGCGCCGCGCAGCGCCGGCTGGAGCCGCCGCCTCTGCTGCCGCCGCCGCCCGCTCTGCACCGGCTCCCCGGCGCTCGGCGGCTTTAACCCCCCCATCCTCCTCCCTCCCTCGCGCGCGCGCGCGCCCTCCCTCCCTCCCTCGCCCATGTGACCGCGGGCGCCCGCTCGGCCGCGCGCGCCCTCGCTCCCCTCCCCCTCCTGCCTTGTCTCCCCGCGCCTCCGCGGCCGCGCGCCACGACCCCCTCCCTGCCACGGTCCCCGCGCGCCCCCGCCTTGGCACGCTCCCGCGCCTGGCACGCGCGGTCAGCTCGCGCGGGCACACTCACCCTGCGCAGGCCCGTGAGCCCGGACTCCCACCCGCGTCGCGGTGGCACGCGCCCTCCCCCCACTGGCACAGTCACCCGCACTGGCATGCGTGGACCCCTCACATTCGCCCTTTCTCGGGAACGCCCTCCAGACGGCTGTGGCCCCCGCGCTTCACGCGCAGCCCCGACCGCGGGGCTCGGAAACGCGAGCGCATGCATACCCACACCCACTCGGCCGGATCCGCTGGGGCCGCGGGGCGCGCACCCAGCCCCCTGGGTCGCTCATTCACACTCACCCTCACTCAGCCTTGGCCAGGTCTCGGCTGCGCATACTCGCACATGCAGGCCCTGACTGCCGCGTACCGACAGCCTGGCACACCCCGGGCCAACTCTCCGGCCCTCCCGCCGGCATCTCGGTGAGAGGAGCGCGAGCCAGAGCCCCACTTTGGGGGGAGGAGACCAGCCATCTCCGCCCCTGCCCTCTTCCCACCGCCGCCAGCAATGCCCCCCTCCCGGTCACACACACATACACCCCTTGGCGGAGGGAAGGGGGCTCTACGCTCCCAGGACCCGGGACGCACCAGGCTGGGAGCCCAGGCCCTCGCCTCCCACCGAGTCTCCAGTGCCACCGCCACAACCACCCTCTCCTTCCTCCCCACTCCGGGATCTAGGGCCTGGGGAGAACCCTCCGCTGGGATGAAAGGGGTCGGGAGGGTGCGCCCTCTGGCCAGGACGGGCAGTTCCAGAGCGCAGGGCACACGAGTCTGGCGTGGAGGTCCACCCTCGAGCTCTCCTTCGCAGCCTGGGCCTCTGAGGGGCCGGCGTGCTCACTGCATCGCCCCCGGGCCTCCGGTCTGGCTACGAGAGGGGGGATTAAGGTTAGACAACCTGACCAACGTCTGAGGCCACGGGAGAGCGCAACAGAAAGTGGTGGATGGCAGAGGCGGGGAACAAGCGGCCCACCCCCATCTCCACCCCTTGGATTTTTCACCTGACCTTTGACCCACAATCCCGTGCCTTGCCCCTCGGGGGAGCAGCTCCGGGTTGGGGGCGGGGAGAGGGGAAGGAAACTTCTCGCTGTTTCCTCACTCTCTTCCCCAGTAGGCTGCCCAGAGCGCCCGGGCCCTTTCCCAACAAACGCCTCAGGGACTCCCACTGCAGAGGAAAAACCTTCTTCCCGCCACTGCCCGGGCTTTTCACTTTCACTTCCGTGGCCGCAGAATCCCCCCAGTGCAACCCGCAGGGGTCAGCCGGGGCTGTGGCTCAGAGAGGGCCGGCGGGGGCTTAGGGACACCCAGGGAAGTAGCGGCGCCCAGCTGAGATCCCGCCCTCCCCCCCCCACCCACAGTAGGTGTGCGCTCTCCGGCCGCTCCCGCCCGCAGCCACTAGGTCCCGGGGCCGCGGATGGGGACCAGGCGGTGGGCACCGAGAGGGGCGGGGGCTGAGCGACTGGGTCTGCGGGGCGGGGGGGGGGGGGCCGGGGGGGGGAGTCGGGAAGCGCCCCTCCCCCTGTGCCGAAACCAGGCCTGCGAGGCTGGGTGTTCAGGGGAGGCCGGGCGTCGAGATGGGCGGTCACTGGTGGGCTGATTGGACCCCCGGACCCCCCGGTGTCGGGACTCGGCCTCTTTCTGCCCGCTTGAGAGCGATGGGGAGTTCCGCGCCGAACCGACGTCCCCCCTCCGCCCGGGGACGCGGGGGCCGCCGTCGGCAGTGCCGAAGTCCGCGGGTGCCGCAGCAGGGTCCGCGCCGGGCAGCCGGGATCCGGGAGGCGCACGGGTCGGTGTGTCCCGGGTTAGCGAGGACGGGAGGCGCACGTCGGACCGGACCCGGCGTCTGTCGATCCGCAGCTCGTCCGGGCGCAGCACCGGCGGCCGCGCCCGCTTCCCCGGGGCCGCAGCGACACCTGGCGGGCGGTGCGGGACGCGCGCTCCCGCGCAGGCTGAGGCTGCTGCTCAGAGGCAGCGCCCACCTACGAACCACGGGGGTGCGGCCCCCTCTCGCTCCAGCCGCCACCGCCTGGCCCAGAACCGATTCTCCTCCCACCTGAGCTGGGCAACAGATTGCTCGGGGGTCCCCGCTCCTGCCGCCTCCAATGCCCTATCTGCACACGAGCTTCGGAGCTTCCTAAGCCTCGGCGTTGACCCCTCCCGGACCCCACTACCATGGGGCGAAGCCGGGCTTCTTAGGCGGGCCTTCAAAGCCCTAGCGGGAGCTGGCCCTGACTCCTCCCCAGCTTTATTAGGAGCCCGTATCGCCGGCCTCCCCTGCTCTGCACCAGCCCCCTTCTCTGTCATGGCGCATTTATCCTTAAGCCAAACCCCACTTCACTAACACCCTCCCCCCAGCCCCACCCCGTCTTCACCATCTCTCTCTTTCGTGCGGGGCCGCAGGAAATAATGCCCACAGTTCGGAGCTGTAGTGCCCTGCAAGTGATGGGGATCCCCGATTTGATAACCCTGAATGGCCTTGGGAAATTGGGGGAAGTTCTTGACGTTGAGTCCCCGGCGTTTTACGTCCACAGTGAAAGAGGGCTCTGCGGCGGGACTTTTGGCTCCACCCTAGCAGGTGACCTAAACTTAGATCACCCCCCACCCCTGGAGTCGACCGTGTCATCCCAAGCCTTTGAGTAGCAGGGACCTTTCCCCGTTCCTCCTGATGTGTCCTCAAGGAAGGAGAGCCCCACCCCGTCTCCCGTGGTCTGCCTTTTCCTGTGCTCCTCGGGAAACGGTGCTCTGCTCGTTTCTAAGCTGCTCTACCGACAGAAAGTCCCACCGTGCGGCACAAACTTGGCTGTCCAGAGTTACTATCACTCACACACAGGCTCTCTGTCTCACCCACAAATGACGAACACGCTGTCATGTAAAGCCACACACCCAGTCTCAGAGTCGCACGTGTATATTCAACCTCACTGTGGCGCACTGGGAGTCAGGGTCCCCTGCTCGGGGCTGGGAGCTGGAGGTCCCAGAAGATTTCTGGGACTCCCGGAATCACACACTGATGCGCCACAGCCACACAGACACACGGTCACACACTCAGCCATGTACTCAGCCGCAGCGCGTGTCCCACAGGCACACACGCAGAGCCACACACGCTCTCAATCACACCAAGTCCCACTCTGGGATTTGGCGGGTTGGGGCGGGCTCCGGGAGGCGGTTGCAGTTACGTAAACGCCCGCGCCCCCCCTCGCTCCCCCTCACCCCCCTGCTTCCTCACGCAGTGCCAGCGCCCGGGGCGGCTTGGCCGGGGCTCGGGAACAGCTCGGCCTCGCGGAGGCTCCAGGCGCCGAGAAACCCGATCCGACACAGCCCCAGGCCGAGCCAGGGAGGGGGGCCCAGAGCACCCCCCACACTCAGGGTCCAGCCCAGCCCCCCAGGGAGGAGTCACCCCCATCCTGAGACAGCTCCCAACACCATCCTGAGGCTGCGCCCAGGGCCCACTGACAAGACCCACATCCTGCAGACCCCCTTCTGGAATCTGGCCGCTGGCTGGAGGCCTAAGTGCGCCCTGACCCTGCCAACCTCGGGCACCGGAAAAGGGCGAAGGCTCCCTAAAGGTGGAGAACGGGAGAGGGCTGGAACTTTAATGGGGGATCCTGTATTTAGCCTGGAATTGGCCCCCGACCCCCCAGCTGCTATCTCCTCTCCCCTCCTCCCCAGGGCCTCCAAAGCCACCCTGGGAGAGAGAGGTGCTCTCACCCCGGCCCAGGCCCCATCAGATTGCTGCCTACCCGTCCCAGCCTATTCTATCCGAACCCTAAATTATCTGGAGAGGTCCAAGGCCTACTCTCCTCCCTTTGACATCCTTCCTTCCTCTGTAGCTGGAAGTTCTAACTCCAGTCTAACCTCAGCTCCTCCTGTTTTGCTAAGAAGGAAGTTTGAGGGCAACCTGAGACATTGGGAGTCAAATCCCAGAAAGGAAGAAGGATTAAGGCTCAGGAAACCCCTGAAAGTCAGGAGTCTAAGCGAGGAGAGAACGCCTGTGTGTCCCCCACCACATAACCCCCACCGCTCGCTGCAGCCCAGACCTGATTTTTCACAATAGCTTTTGAGTATCGGCCTGGGCTGCCCAGGCCCAGGCAGAGAGGGAATTTCCCCCTGTGTTCTCTGTTAATGAACAAAACATTTCATGTTGAAATTCCTCCCCTGCCCCCAGCCCAGTGTCTCCAGGGCCTCCTACCCTGACCAAAGAGGGGGACCACTGGGAGGGGAGGAACAGAGAAGGGGCAGCCCCCAGGGGAAGCATAATTTATATTGGGGGGCATCTTTTTTCATAAATAATTAGGGTAGCTTTTTTTTTTTTCACTTTTGGCTAAAATTACCCACTCCTGTGGCAGCTTCCCAGAAAGGGCGGCGGGAGGGCGGCCGGAGCTGTCCCGAGGCCGAGGACATGGCCCCCCTCCCCTGGGCGAGGAGCCTTCCCCAAGTTGTTTTCCTGGTCTCTTGGATGTTTTTTTTGATTATTAATCACATTTTCCATCCACAGGCTTAGTCCAGACCCCCTCTCCCTGGGGTCAGGGCTGGACAGAGGGAGGAGGACCGGCTCCAGGAGGATGAGTTGGGGACAAGATGGGCAGTGACCCTTGGTCTTGGGTGACCCGAAAGAGGCTGTCAGTGGCATGTCACAGATCACACCCTCACCATCCTGGGACATAGTAGGACCTTAATCAATACAAGTGGAGCAAATGAATGGACAGGTGTCCAGCTTTCACAGCACCCAGCTGCCCTGGAAAGCAAAGCCCCTAGAGTCGGTCCCCTTATGCTACAGACAGGGAAACAGCTCAGAGAGGGGGAGTCACCTGCCCAGAGTCACACAGAAAGTTACTGCCTGGGCCAGCGCAGGACCCCAGGAATGCTGAGGGCTCCCACATTCAGAAGGCAGTCAATAAATATGTATTGAGCACACACTCTATGCCAGGCCTTGATCTAAGTGATGGGATGCAGCAGTGAAGCCACCAGACAAAAACCCCTTCCCTCTCAAGGATGTGGAACAATTGCTGGGCGTGGGCAAGTTGGTCCAACCACTTCGGAACACCGTTTGGCAGGATCTGAGCTGAATACCCATGCGCCTTGTGACACAGCAATTCCACTCCTAGACACACACCCCAAAGAAATGGTCGTACATGGTCACCCAGAAGGTTCCCAGCAGCTTTATTCATAATAGATTCAAGCCGGAAGCTACCCACATGGATGAATAGATTGTGCCACAGCTACAGCAACGGAAAAGAGCCCACCACAGCTACACACAACAAAAATGGTAAAGCTCACAGACAAGATGTTAAGCAAAGGAAGAAAAAAGAACCAGACACAAAAGAGTGCCTGTTGAATGATTTCATTCATATAAAGCTCAAGAACAGGCAGAACGCATTCATGGCTGTGGAAGTCTGGAGCGCAGTCACCTTTGTGGGAGGGGGTTCCAAGAGAATACACACATATGACAAAATTTGAGCTGTGCTCCTAAGCTTTGTGCACTTTACCTTTGACCTTTAAAAAAGCTTAAAGATCTCCTGCCCTCATGGGACTCACATTCTAGTCAGGGAAGATGGATACTGAGCAAATAGGTAAGTATACAATTTGTCCATGTGACAGTGCCGTGTCTGATTCCACAGCCCCCTCAGGCAGGAGGTGACAACCTAAATGTCACCTAAGAAAAGACTGGACTAAGCCCCATGTGCCCTCTCTCATGGTGCCATCCTCTTTTTCTTTATGGTGGCTGGTGTGATGTTAACGGCCTAGTTACCTGGGTGGTGTGTGTGGCCCCCATCTCCAGGCACCTAGAGCTGAGTCTGGCACAGAACAGGTGCTACTAACATTTGAAATAGGTTTAAATAAGTGTTGAATGAATAAATAAATGATGCAAGCAAGAAGCACAACCTCGACCTGAGGGAGTAAAGTCCCAGGGCTCGGGGGAGGGAGCCTGTCTGAATGGGTCACAGCTGGAGGGATGGGACCCAGTGAGGGATTAAGCAGAGACCCAGAAGGCAGGCTGAGGCAGCCTGAGTGGCTCAGAGACCACATCCTGAAGTGCCTTTGGTGCCAAGGCTTTGCAGGCCTGGAAAGACTTAAAGTAGGTGAGGAACAGAACCAGATCTGCATTTTAGCAAGGTCATGAGGCTGCTGGGTGGAGGGTGGTGAGAAAGGCCAAGGCTGGAGGTGGGGCAGTTAGGGAGGCAGTGTGTGCAGTGACCTACAGGAGAGAGACCAATGGCCTGCCCTGGGGCCGGGCCACGGGGCTGAAGAGAGAGGAAGGGCTTTGGGAAGGGAGGGTGGGCGCTCAGATTCATCTTCTCCATCTGTTCCCACGAACCCTGGAGGAACCCCAT